CCGCCACCCCCACCCCCGTCGGAGCCTTGTGCCGATACCCCGAAACCCTTCTCACCTAAAGAGAAAACGATGCCTCTTTCGGCTAAGCAACACACAGGCCTAACCCACCAAGCGAACGCCTTCCCAAACACCCGACTCAGACGGTGCCTGGGCCCAGACCGCTGGGGCCCATGAGACCGGATTGCGTTTTACCTCATGGGCTCAGCGGTCATGTTTTCGCTTGAACGCCTGGTCGGCTTCTGCGATTGCTGGGCGCCGGTCTGCGCTCCCCCGCGCCCGGTTAGGATAGAAATGCACTGGAATCTTAGTCGTCACTGTAGCTGCTGCTGGAACCTCCCCACAGCTCAAAGGCCGCTGCCACTGCCACCGCCGCAGGAGCCGCGGAAACAAAGCGACGCCGCTGCCGCCGCCATTTTGTTGGGCCGAGGCTCAGGCAGGAGAATTGGCGCGTCCTCCCTCTTTCTCTTTCCGTCATCCATTGGCTACCTCCTCCAAAGCGCACAGTCTTATTGGCTACAATTCACCTTCTTTGGGGGCCTGTTGCTAAGGCGGTCGACGTCATTTGATCCCCTCCACCTTTTCGCAGGGGGTCCAATTTAGTCCCAATTGACCTGAAAGTGCTAGTGACTTAGTTTGACTTTATTTTGAAAATGTTCTTTTAGTCCATCCTCTTTTTTGTTAGACATATTAACGAAGCAATAACAGCAATTTACGTTTATTGAGAGTTTACTATATGCTCGGCACTACACTAATCCTTTATCAGGGTTATCTTATTTAATCTTTACACCCTCTGAGGTAGACAAACCTACATTTTCCAGATGAGGAAACCAAGACACAAAGTCCCACAGTAGTAGAGCCGAGATTCACCAGACACTCTTAACCACTAATCTACATTGCCATCCTATGTATTTTCCTGCCTATATGCTAGGCTATCGTCAAGTTCTTTTCTTTTCTAGATGTTTTATACATAATATTTGGCACACTAACATGCTCGCAAATGTGTATGTGTATAATGTAATTATGTATGTATATGTGTGCAAATAACATAAGATCAACTTGAACTCTGCATAAAATTATTTCCATATTGAATAAACTAAAGTGCAACTTAGAATACACACACACACACACACACACACACACACACACACACCCCACACCCCACCCCACACCCCACACGGGCCGTTTCCCCAATTTGATGTGATGTTTAGCTCACAAACCAATCAATTTAGATCTGCTTCCTCGTCATTACAGAGGAAGCTTGGCTGGATGATCTTTAAATGCCTTTCCAGCTATTATGATCTTATAATTTGATTCTACATTGGTAATCTCTGCTAATCACAAACAAGTTCTCAAATCTAATTGTTTCGAATTTTATTTCCAAATTTGTTCTGCCACTTATGCTTTAGTTCATTCTATTTATTTTTCTTGAAATATGCAAGAGCTCCTGTCGTGGTTGGGTGACAGGGTTGCCGCTTTCTACTGGGATAGCAAGAGATGAGCCTTTTTTGAATGAAACACTTTGAAATCTGATAGACTCAAGCAACTTTTTTTTTTTTCTGCGACAGGGTCTAGCTCTGTCACCCAAGCTGGAGTGCAGTGGGGTGACACAGCTCATTGCAGCCTCGACCTCCCAAGCTCAAGCAACCCTCCCACATCAGCCTCTCAAGTCGCTGGGACTGTAGGCCGCGCCATCAAGCTCAGCTAATTATGTACTTATGTATTACTATAAATGAGGTCTCTCTGTTGCCCAGGCTGGTCTCAAACACCTGAGCTCAAGCCATCCTCCTGCCTCGACCTCGAAAAGTGCTGGAATTAACGGGGGTGAGCCACCGCGCCAGGCCTCAGGCAACTTTTTAATCAACAGATGCCTGTACACATTGCAATTACATCTTTCAAACGTTTGAGTTCAATTGGCAATTGTAGAAACCAGACCTCTGCACCTGCTATACTGATTTTTGTCTTGTACACATTAAATATCACTTTAACATACAATTTACAGGAGTCATTTTTTTCTTCCTTGGTAAATGCAGTTAATTTGAACGATGTACTCCATCACAAGGCAGCACAGAAATATGCTTCCTGTCCAATTGACTTCATTATGAGAAAAATAGTAAATAGTCAAAATGTTTCCAGGTTATTGGCATTTTGAACAAAGAGTTGGACAAAACGCACAAAGCAAGGAAAGAATGAAGCAACAAAAGCAGAGATATATTGAAAACGAAAGTACACTCCACAACTTGTGGAGTGTAAAAGCTGCCGGAGCACAGGGGCTCAAGACCTCCATTATGGAATTTTCTGGTATTTAAATACCCTGTAGAGGTTTCCTAAATGAAGTTGTGGCCCTGCAATCAGTCCCATTGGTTGCAGAAAGCAACCAATCAGAGGCTAAAATGAAGTTACAAGGGTAACAGCCCATGCAAGCATCTAATTGGTTGGAGAAAGCAACCAGAGGCTAAAGTGAAGTTACAAAATTACACTCCTATGCAAACATCTGCTTTCTGCAACCAATCAGAGATACTTTCAGTTTCCCATCTGCCAAGCAGAAAAGGAAGGGGATTTCCAAAGGGAGTAGTCCTTTTGTTACTTAGGTGTGGGATGTTGGGGTTTTCCTTTTGATTTAGTTCTCTGAAGTCAACCTTAATCAGCCTTAGGTTCCTATGCCTTCAGACCCTATTCTCCTGCCTCACATTATTTTTAAATGAATTGAAATTATTAAGGTAGAAACTAGCTCTCAGTGACGAGACTTCATAACACTAAACAGCTTTTTTTATGTTTTTTGAGTCGGTGTTTCGCCCTTGTTGCCTAGGCTGGAATGCAATGGCATGATCTCAGCTCACAGCAATCTCCGCCTCCCAGGTTCTCAGCTCACAGCAACCTCTGCCTCCCAGGTTCAAGTGATTCTCCTGCCTCAGCCTCCCAAGTAGTTGGAATCACTGGCATGCTTCAGCATGCCCAGCTAATTTT